CCAGACCCATGCCGGCCACCGACTCTCTCGTGCGCACACTGTGAGATGCCCAGGATTTCCGGAACTTGCTTCGGGTAAGTAGCATTGCGATGATATGCCTGAATCTACGCTTTTGCTCAGGCTAGCTTCAGGCCAGCCGCGGACTTGAAAGTGAGCTATCAAAGGGACTCTGGCGGGGGCGTCTTCTCGACTGGAAATGAGTGAAGTTCACAGTCACAGTCAAAGTCGAAGCTTTGGTCGCTCAACACTCCAAATTATCACCATAATCTTCATCATTGTCGTCTGCATCACACATCATTAGCTTGCGCTCACCATCAAGCAAAAAGCTCAGTCGTAGTAGCAGTAATTCTTAGAACGGCTTTCGTGGTGTGCCAGTGGCAGTAATGGTAATGCAGAGTGGTGAGACCACGGGTAGTGCTAGGAGCATTCATGATCGTATTAGTCACACGGTCGGTGAAGCTCGCAATGCGAGCATGGCAGCTCTAGCAGACAGACCTAAAGGTGGGAAGCCAAGTCGCAGTCGTGAAAGGTAACATCCGAGATCATAGAAATCATGAGACTGAGAAGAGCGTGGAACGCATGACAGTCAGAGTACTCAAATTCTGTCCTGGCAGCGATGGGTGTTACAGGTGCTAGGACGAACAGCACAGCAGTACCTTGTAGGCATGGAGGAAGTGGCAAGACTGCAACATAAGCAGTTTCAGTGATGGCAACAGATGCGGGTAGCAACTGAAGAAAGCAGACACTAGACTCACTAGACCTTCGACAAGCATCCTATCAAGCGAGTCTCGCAGAGGATGTCGTCACTTGTGATGCTAGTGTGCAAAGTTTTGAACCGTATCTGGTTGGTAAGCCTCCTTCTGCTGTGCCCGGGCCAATGCCTTAAAAGCCGTTGACGTGCAGTGGATGCACGGTATGGCTTTGGAAGCATGCTTCGCTACTATATCTAATAGGAGAAAGGCCTGTAAGACTACCAGACATGCTGTTCGCAACATCAAGAAAACCTGAACCTGAAACCTTACAGGGCAGAAGTCTGCAAAATTTGACCGAGTATTCCCTTATATAAAGTTATGAGTTTGGATACAGAGGCCCATGAACCTTATTCTAACTATCAAGGCACCGAAATGTGTACCGGAAGGCTGAAATGCTCGGACCGACCGGATCGCTCGGCGTCGCCCAGCGGGCGCCGTTCGCCGTCCCGAGGTGCTCGCACGATGCCCAGTCGCAAGCATCCAAACACGGCAGAAAGACGGGCCCTCCTTGATGTGCGTGTTGCAGGCAAGCTGAGGTTTGAGTTATGTCTATGTCTATGCGCCTTCTCATGCTGCAACTTGGAACTGGCACCCAAAATTTCGAATCATCAGTCCGGAGTGGGTATAATCAGTGAGAGTTACTCGATGTTTGCCAGTCTTTGCCCCCTAAGTGGACGGCTTGAGCAACAGCAATGAAACCCAAGTCAGAATCCGTCTAGCCGTCGAGCTGAATAATTGAAGAGGCTGAAGAGAGTTACGCCTGTGAACATCACTGTGTGCAATTCAAGCGCTTCTGCTCGGAAGCAGAAGACCTGTAAGTTAAACGGCGGCAAGAGGGAGAGCAGAGCTCCTCTCGAGGAAGCAATCGAAGCAGATCCGCTTCTCCGAGTCGTGCCGCCTGCTGCTTACTGGTACGGCCGGCCAGAGATCGGTTGATTGTTCCTTGCCACGTAGTGACTTACTGACATGTTCTGCTAAGGCTCAAGGCCTGAACTGGTTTCCGCTCTTCCAAGCTCCAGCGCAGCCTGGTTGCGCTTCGCCGGGACCAGAGAGGATTTTCAGAGTATCGATCAATGGCACTGCAGGCATGGGCACGGATCCGAGACAGTGGGGGCCTTGGCAAGATGCACAACGACTGGAAGTAACCTGGGGCTGAAAGATGGGAGCCTGGCAGTACCTATTATATACAGACATAGGCGAATATATGAATGATAAAGCCCAAATTATAATGAGCACAAAAAGTATGTCAAATGAGTAGATGAAGAGCCGTACATCAATAGGTAGCGAATGAGTTCAATATTGGCAAACAAGTGCACACAAATGACAACCAATGAGTTATTTCAGTAAATGAACACACATACACTTTTATGTAGATCTTGATATGCAGGAATAAACCAAACAACTAGATGTGTAAATAAGTGCATAGAGAGAATAGGCAACTATGAGACCACACGTCACGCACGTGTTGTGGCCAGGTAGCGCAGCGCTCATTCGAGAACCAACTCCGTCCGGGCCTCGACAGTTTTGTTACATGGCCTCTCGTGGAGTCTCGGCTTCCCAACATGTCCCCAGACTAATGGTATCGGGGCTATAAGAGAACACTCGAATTTTCCCAAGTTGCACTGAGGTGGGTCTCCAGCTCCACTCCCCATGCAGGCCAAGGTGTGGACGCGCAAATCAAGCTAAATCGAGGCATACTGTAGCGCATGTATACACATCTAAACAAGTACTTCGACATGTACAACATACACACATACATGTGCACAATCTGCTTTACCTACCTACCTACCTACCTACCTACCTACCTACCTAAAAGACTACGCGCGTGCCTGCCTACCTACCTACTTACCTGTCTCCCTATCCGCCCATGTATCTATCTGTCTCTCTAGGCATATGTACACAGATTGATGCTTACATGCATCACTTTGTAAAGAAAGGAAACACAAACATAACGAGCTGAACCAACGAAAACGATGAACAAACGAACAGGCGAATATACATATAAAGTATGTGCTTTTTATGTAAATACAGTACACGTCAGCATTAGGCCAAGCATGCTTTGCGAGACATATATTTGTAAATTATATATACATATATATATACACATATATATATATATACATATATATATACATATATATATACATATATATATATATGTATATATTTGCTGTAAGAGCAAGCCCATAATGCATATCGTGCAACTGTGTATATACAAACATCCATACATGCGTACTTGCATGCACATGTAAATGTACACATGCACATACATACATAACGCACGAACACACGCAAGAGCGCATGTGGCGGAGGGCTTGTAAAGGGTTTAGGAGTGTCGCGAAGATTATGTAGTCTAAGTAATCACCAGAAACGCACAAGGTCTCCAACAAAAACCAAGAAGCACATCACATCAAGAACAAAATAGAACAAACAAGTTTGGAAAGACCTAGGTTTGCATGGTTGTAGACTTGCATCTGCCCATTAGTACAGCTGAACAGAGAAGTAGAAGGAAATACCGGTGCAAGTTCTTACGCGCACATGGTGCTGCGGGGGTTGTAGGAGGGCGCCTGCTTGATGTTTCCAGGCGATGCGCAACTGATGGATTGACAGCGGGCACTTTCGTGCAGCCCTTCCCCCGGGCTTGCCCTAAGTGCTGACATTTCCAATTTCAGCTGCCCATCGAGTGGAAGCAGACGTCTTGTCGTGCCAAGACTGTGCCAAGCATCATGGTAGCAGGCTGCTTGCAATCTCTCTGCGCCGTGGTCAATGGTAACTAGAAGCCCCTGGCTCTTTCTATCGACCAAAAGCTACACTTCTTGAGCAGACCCAGGCAAATCCTCGAGCAGCTGTGACGCTTAATTATACTTGTTTAGAGCAGCAAAATGCCGCATGCAACTTGCCCAGCTATGCGAGAAGCAGCTGGGACGCATGTGTTCTCTTGCTGGTCGGGCCTGTTCCCTCTTTGGGTGCAATGGCAGGCTCGTGGACCATACCTAGCTCATGTTAATGGCTTGCCGGGGGCCTGAGCTTTCCATGCCATTCAGAGTCATGTGACGGATTTCATAGGACTGACTCCCTTGTGAATGCTCGGCGCCCTGATACTATAGCCTTCGGGGAGCCCTGGAACAGGGCACCCTGAATCCTCCTGCTGCCGCTGAAGGCGGTTGCTTTTCCGATAAGCCGGCATGCGACGAATTTCGACATAGTTCCACAAGGCTCAGGGTTGCGGTGAGTCAAGTAGGGTTCGAGGTGGGCGCTCAGGTGAGCATGACGTCTCCTGATCGTGAAGTTTCATTCGCATCGGGTCTAGATAATATTTCTTGCGCGTTTTCTCTCGCCTCAGCCTCATTGGGGCTATGTTCTCTGTAGACTTCGAACCCACCGGGACATGCCAGGACATTGAAGTCACACAATGCCCACTGTGTTTGGCACGAAATGAAGGTCTGACAAGCGCAGCTGCTCTTGTGTGCAAACGGACACCGTACAAGCGGGATTGCTTGCTGCCTCGCTGCTCGGCATGGCAGTGTCAGATCGTTACCGTCTGCGGCTGCTGCCGGAGGCCGTTCTGCCCGTTTGAAAATGACGGCAGCTATGCTTTGGGGTTGCAGAAGCAGTGGGGTGGGGCGGGCTGTTGAGCCTCATTTCTTATACCGTGCCCGAGTATTCCCCCTGACCCAAAACTACCCCTTGTATATGTCGTGAAATGTTATTTTCGGGGAGCGGACTGCGCCCGAAGAGGAGTCTAAGAGCGAATACAGTGACTACAGTACAATTAGGCGCCATTTTAAAGAGACTAGGGATCGCCCAAGGGTGGAGGGTTGGGACGTGTAACTAGTCATTTAACCTGATGGAAGTCGCAGCATTGATGTTCAGGGATTGCCCCAGCATCCGAAACCTTCGAATGCAAGAGCGAGCATGTGAGTTGAGCTCCTTTCTCTCAGAGTGTAGGTTTAGGGATTATCCCAGCATCCGAAGCCTTACGATTGCAGGAGCGAGTGTGTACCAGAACGTATGAGTTGAGTTCGTTTCCCTCTCAGAGTTTAGAGCTTGTTTAGGACTGCAGGCGCTGACCGGAACTGCAAACTGCAACCGCAGGAAGTTTGCATTGACATATTTTTACTCATGATACTGTTTAGTTTTCGAGAAGGGGTGAGTTTGATAATGGGGGGTAGCTGCCTCTTATTGTCAACGACTTTCGGGATGTCGCCTGCAGTCCTTTTCTCTATCCTGACCCGTACCGGACCGAAGGCTGTGGGTGCGATCTCGGGGGCATGCGTCCTCCTGCTGGCCGCGGGTGAAGAGCCAGAGGAGGCGCGGGACTTTCCGCGAGGGCTTCAAGCCGGTCTGGAAGTCTGGTTGGCGTGCAGACCTGATCTGATGGCGCCCCCCCTTTCCATTGTGTTCCGCATCTCGGACTCGTGGTCTACAGGGTGCGGTTCGGAAAGCTTGAGGATCCGTTCTTTGAAGGCGTTGCTGGCCAGCCGTTTCCGATGCCACGTCGAGCCGACCGAAGCTGCACTGAGAGAGGCGGTCGGGGCCCCAATGATACACGGCGGGAAGATTTCGGAAAGATGAACTGTGCTTGGCTTTCTGATGGGCATTACTGTCATCCAAGTCAGCTTGTCTTAGGTGGATGTGGGGTCAAGGGTTGGCATGATTAGAAGACGGGCAAGGTTCAAGATCATCGCATTGGCATTATCCTTCCAACATCTTTATATGTCGTTATCGCAGTGAAGCAACTCGGGATGTGGCATTCACGACCTTAATTGTAGTAATTATATTCAATTGCTTCAGCAGCGGGCTGCACATGCCTCAATCCCAGGCCTCTCTGGTCCAAGAGGCCTGGAGAACTCCAGAGGGAGCTTAGGGCTTGGGCGCTTGGTGCTTGGTACCGAGAGAGAGCGACAGCCTTCATTACTGCCGTGTCTTTTTCCTGTGCACCGACTAGCCGACTAGCCACATCACTACATACCGATAGCGCATTGGAGTTACAGCCGAGAAAGTGTGTCTGTCAGGCGTTCTTGGCACCACCGCCGCTTGTGAGTTGCAATCCCAGCGTTCAGAAAGTAGAGTCAATTCCTGCTGTTGCGACCGGTTGAGCCTTGTTCTACTAGTCCCGGCAGAGGTTTCATGTAGTTGGGTCGAGTGCAGGCTGAGTTGGCTGAGTATGAGCGGTGCTCTGCCCAGTGTGTGCCGTACCTTTGTCGTACATCCTTCGTGCTGTATGTGGAATTTTAGATCCATACAGGCGCGTGCATCATCAGAGTGGATGAACGTCCACGAGTTTTAGTTTGACGAAATGCGCACTGGACTCGGGACCTCGACTGTTCACACTGGACTCGAAGCCAATGCATGCCGGACCGCCGAAAGCACGCAACCCCAGCCGTGCATGCAGCAAGATTCAACCCCTATAGAGTCCTGATACTGCCGCTCAGAAGCATCAACTACAATAAATCGAACACGTCGCGCTGACGCCGCGAGTGGCAACAAGGGCAGCAGCAACAATAGCATTTGCCACCGGAATAGCAAATGTTTTGACCATGATGGCGTTGTGACCGTAACCGAGTATGAATACAGTAACAACCGCAGCGACCAATGGCGATCACAATTGCTCTGAAGATTGTTGCCTGTTAGCAGGCATGCCTGTAACAGGGTAGCATCAGTATGAGTCCATCAGTATGAGTATGGGTTGTAAGACGAGTATTCAACGATGCTGATTGAACTCCTGCATTTGTTACTTGTGACCATGACGATGACTATTATTGCTTCTGATTAGCATTAGTCTTATTACTACTAACCGCTGCTTCTACTACTATTACTACTACATACTACGACTACGACTACGACGACTACTACTATTACTACTATTACTACTATTACTACTACTATTGCTATAAATATTATGATTATTATTATTATTGTTATTACTACTACTACTACTACTACTACCACCACCACTACTACTGCTACGGCCACTGCCACTGCCACTGCCACTGCTACTGCTACTGCTACTGCTTCTGCTGCTGCTACTGCTACTGCTCCTGCTGCTGCTACTGCTACGGCTGCTGCTCCTGCTGCTGTTACTACGACGACAACAACAACCACAACAACAACAACTACTGCTGCTGCTACTACTACCACTAGACTTCCACTGCTACTCTGGCTGCTACAACCACTGCCGCTGCTTCTACAGCCTCTACCTGCTGCTCAGGCTATGACGTGGAGCCCGGCGATTCCTCCGAGGAAGAGGGTGGCAGCCAGGAAGGTGCGGGAGGATGCGTTTACGTGTTGTGACCCCGCACCAATGCCGACACTCCTTTGTGCGCCATGTTCATGTTGAGAGTGGTGACTGTCAGCTGGCTAGCTTCAGTTTGCAACTGGTGACGGTGAGTAGCAAGGCATCCGATTTTTCTAGCAAAAGACTGCTTCATTCTCGCCCGCCCGAGGGCTGAATACGTCTCCCTTCATCAAGGATCCATTAATTTCATTCTCAGAGTTGCTAACGACAATTACTACCACCTACATAGTTGTCCGACAGCTTGTAGCATTTTGTTCGCTGTCGTTCAGCCGTCTTTGCCCTGTGGAGGCATTCGGTTGCGAGTCCGGCTTCGGCGCGAGGGGGACGACAAGTGGGGCGCGCAACGGGCTTCAGTCGGCAATGCTAGCTAGAGGAAGGAATAAGGACGTGAGTGTATTATAGACTCATCTGCTAACCCCCCCAAGAACTACCGCGAGGTTATGAATGACCGTGGGCCATGACTGACTCCAATTCCTAGACAACAGTATCCCTAAGACTAGCCCTGCCATTAGACCTTACATTGGCCCCCAATGGTGACAGTAGTCTCCTATTTCATGTTCACCCAAAATAGAGTCCTTCTAGATTCACGTCGTAGTTCATATGGATTAAAATGCTATGTCGAGTGAGCCCCATCATATATCCCCCTCTTAACTCCCATATCGACCTGAAGGTTAACATAAAAACATACATCCGCCTGATTGGCCCCCGATAGTAAGGATATTGCAGTCCCCTTGGCAACCCTGATATTGGATAACATGACTCCAAGATGGACCTTACTCGCAAACTTAATATTACCCATAAAGCTGTTCACACTGGGAACCGTCGTACTGTACCGGATACTTCCTTCAACAGGAACCCAACTAATGGCTGTAGGAGAAACCTTGACCAGGGGCCTCATCAACAGGTTAATTGATCCAGATGTAGCTGTGGGATCCCTTGCACGAGCAGTCAAGTCCCCGAAGTTCAAAGTCATGGCATCCCTAATACTATGTACCGTTACTATGAATCTAACACTTGCTTCAACGGTAGCCGGCACATTATTGCAGACATGAAACTACACAAAACGATACCATGAAGAGCCACGGTCCTTGCTGTGTTCGCTCTGGCGTTGCCCACATAATGGCCCGTAGATTTTTTAGGGATGATACCAGCATTCTTTGCATCTTCGCGTGAGTTTCTCGCCTACTGAATGACGGTCAAACAGTGGTCTGTAGCACTGCAGTAGGTGCCTGTTATCCTTCGCTCTGTATTCTGGGCGCGACAGTAACCGAAAGTGAGCCGTTCCTTGAAGACCTCCTTCCTGTGTTTGGCGCAGGCATCAAATGGCACAAGCAGATGTTCAAGTCGATCGGCACTCAGGTTCTCCTTTGTTTTCTTTACCACGTTGTCGTGGTGCGGTAAAAGATGATAGATGGCTTCAGCAGTGGCCTCGGCACGACATGGCAGAAGGGGCCAGGACGGAGCGCCGAAGCAGTGGAATCCTTCTTTTGAAATGCCATAGGGGTGCCTTGTGCTTGAGAAACGACGACATCAGCAGGCTGACTCTACAAGATTCACGCAGTGGGGGGTTAAGTTTCAAGGACCAGCGAGGCTGTTGGTCAACTCTCCTGTGAGGACCGGCCCCGGTTAGGATCACTGAAAAATCACGTGGAATCCCGCTGCAGGTCGCACAGACTAGTGGTGGATGAGGTGGCGTACCGCTCAGAACTGGCTGTGCAGACCCCGAGCAACCTCGGTAGTTCTTGTGCAAGTGGCAGCCTCCACGAATCGCCCGCCTAGCAGATCTGAAGGTGGAGGGATCCCTCATCGATCGCTGGAACGAATGCCAGCCCGCAGGTCTCCAGGCCGAGTTGGTGAGGGCGGCAGATTCACTTATTGCGGCTTCAGAAACGAAACTCTCACGCCGAATCCATGGAAACCTGAGCTTCTAGAGTTCTGAACATGTACGGTGAGGTGGTGAGATTGCATGCTACGGTGGGAAACCATGGTGCATGGCCTGAGCAGGTGCGTTACGGAGACCGCCTTGAGCGAATCAACGGGATCTCCATAGGCCGCTCTGCCGCCGAGGTGCCCCTCAGCCTGCAGCCCGATTCCTAGGTCCTGGAGTATGCAGCCAAATCTCGATCCCCCTACTGGTACACCCGTTCGACACTCTTCTTGCTCTTCCCAACTTGACCCCGAGTTGAACTTCTCAGACGTGTCGAGCAACGAGGTGTCCGTGCCAGTGTGTGTGTGTGTGTGCATGCGCATCTGACTCTGGGCGTGTCTGTGCACTCGGAGTCAACCAGCATCACATCATATCGCATCGGTCAGTCCAAGCTGGGAATGTTTCGTCCTGGCACGGCCACGACAATGAAGCCCCGACTTTGCTGAGCCTCCATCTAAGCAAGTAGTGTGCAAATGTGTGCAACAGTTTGCCAAAACGGCAAGACAGACTCGCAAGTTCGTCTCTCACCTTCCTGCACTTGCTGCCCTGATCTGTGAGGCGGCGCCGAAGTTCCGAGCGGAGCTGCAAAAGGAGGCTCGGGTGGAGGGTGGATGAGAGGGTGGGGGCTTGGGCTTGTTGTAGACCGCCACGCCACTGAGTGCCTTCATGCTCCTTAGTCCACAGACCATAGATCGGGGCATGACCATGTGCCTTCGCGTTGCTTCACAGCCAAAACCCATTGTTTCGGGGTTTTCTGTGTCCGGGGAATCTCGGACGGGTCGAAGTGTGTGTGAGCAGCCGTGGAACCTATAGAACACGCAAGAGACTCGTTCCTTAAAATGATGGGAGCAGACGCTGCCTTGTGCAGGAGATCCGGGCCCTGTTTTGGAGGCACCGGCCTGCTGTCCCGGCGAGGAACGGGTAGCTCAGGTTTGCCGCACCACTCCTGAGCCCAGAACTGCAATGTCATACAGTAGTAACGAAACTAGTACCAATAAGAGTACATAGACAGAACAAGTAAGAGCAGAAGAGCAATGATAATGTCCATCTTCCGGAGCTCGGCCTGGCGAAAGCCGTCACCGGACGGTCTTGGCCTCCATGCACTGACTTGCGAGTCCCCAAAGCTGAAAGGCCTGGCAGCGCTGAACCTCGAAAGCAGGCCAGGACGCGCTGTGCAGACGAGTGCAAGCTTCCTTGGCACTTTCTGTCACGCCTCGTTGTGATTTGCTCTGAGACCGGTGCGGCAGTGGCGGTAACCTTGGCTGCATCACCCAGCGGGGACCTCGTATCACCATAAGGTCGCAGAGTCGTAGGGTTCCTTGCGTGAGCCAGCCTTTTGCTCCAACTCCATTGCAGGGAACCCGGAGCATGCCGAACACTACTGGAACCTGTGCAAAAACCAGTCCAAGCTCAGGATCCTGATTTTGCACAGCCCTTCGCAGTTCTTGCTCTCGAGGTTGCGGCGGCTTGTCGGCTGCCATTGCAGTGGCTGCAGCACATGCGCTCACATACACGGAGGCACGGACGACCGACGTGTCGGCTCAGCTCTTTGCGTTGAGGGCTTCGAGTCCTGCGTATGCTCGGTGGAAGGCTTCGGAGGGCTCATCCTCAAGTCTGGACGAGCTCCTGCAGCAGCTCAGCGAGGGACGGGAGGCTTCCACACTTCAACATCAGAGCCCCCCAGACAAGCAGCTAGCGATCCGACAGCTTCTCAGAAAAGCTGGTGAGACCGGCTTGCTGCTATCGTGATTGATGTGAGTGGTCAAAAAATTATTCTGCTCCTGGGATCGCGAACGTTCCGTCTCCCCATCTCTCATTTCTATATCTGTCTATCTGCTCAAATAGCTCGCCCGCTTTCTTGCTAGTCTGTCTATCTGTTTATCCATCGGTCTGTCTGGATGCCTGGCTGGCTGGCACTATGAATGTGCATTCGTGTATGCATGTATGTATGTATACGTGCTCTGCTTGTACGACATGTCACGCTTGATGTACACTGTGGAATGAGGCGAGATGATGTGACATGACGCAGTCTGTGCAACCGCAGCTCGTGGAAGTATTCATGGAAGTATTCATGATGCATGGGCCAAGCCCGGATCCGGATTTAGAGCAGCCCGACCCTCATAGAATCCCGCCCTCAGCACATCAAGTGTTGATGATTTGACCTCGGGTTTACCGCGGGGAATCTCCACCTTGATGGGAGGCCAGCCTCGACCATTGGCAGAGTGCGCTTCAGTGCATGGCGCCTGTTCAGGTTTGACGTTCGGTGAAGAGGTTTTCTAGCACTTCAGGGTTAGGGACCTCGTGGCTCGGAATGGGATTTCCGGACCTTTCGGGTACGGAAGCGCTTCGACTCCATTCTTGGAGGCGTCTGTTCCGGGTCGAAGGCCGATCTACAGGATCTCGCTGTTTCTGCTAAAGTAGAATCCGGTCAAGTAGTCAGTTTGGCTCATGCAGCGACGGCTGTGCGGATGACGGTGACGATGCGGCGATGACGGGCATGACGATGTTGATGCTGGCAGGGAAGAAGCAAGCATAGCAGCAGCAGCCGGGGGAGGACCTGTGACACTAGCAGCTTTAGCAAGCTTCCGAGCAAATCATGACGTCGGCTACCTCGGCCAAAGTTATGTGGAAGCCAGGGCTTGCCAGTAATGACAGCAGAAAGGCCTTCGAATCGAAAGGAGCTTTTGGATATGGCCGAAGCATTTGAAGATTGAGACATGTTGAGCCCGCAACATCCTAGCACATGGAAACAGGCGGCGGCAGGTGCGCCTGTGGTTCGCCAAGATTTCGAAGAGAGGTGCGAAGTTGGTACCCTGAACTCGAGCGAAATCTGAGTGGCAAGTGCATTGGATATGGGCCAAAACTTTGCTTCGTAACGTTTCGTCGTTGTGGCAGATGGGAAAGATCAGCCTTTCGAAGTCTGCACATTGCTACCCACATTCTAGATGCAAGAGGGGATCACGGCAGGGCGCAGATCAGGTTGCAGGCTTGATCTTATCATCATTTAACGTTGGATGATGCCTCAAAGCCGGGTTCCTTCTGCTCTTGGGGTCAGCCAGGTCCTGATTCGGTGATCTGCAAGGGTCGTCGCAGAAAGCGGCCCAATGTTTCTTGTTGTCGCCCACCGATGCAGACTTGAGTTGCAGACTGGCAGGGCCGACCCCGGCAACGGCTCGGTGACCGAGCACAGTCTTGGGGAGGTGCTTTTGAAGGGCAGCAACCTTTCGTTCGCCCGCAGTGCAGGATGATGTGCGAGAGATGATTGGTGAACGGTAGGGCAGGAGCAGGATCAACTTCGCTGTTTTCCTTGCACTATGTGCTTGTCCGGTAGAGCCTGTCTCTTGAGACGACTTCCAAGCATTGTGGCTGATCTGAGTGCCGCATCATCAGCGATATATAGCGATTAAAGGTAATCACAATGCAGGATACACAGGCGTCCGCAGATTGCGTTAAATGGGCACGGCACGACGAGCAGGCATGCAGCAGCAAAATCGCGAGTCAACGCCAAGAAGCAGAGATAAGCATCTATTGAGGGGCCAATGAACGACATGGGGAAAGCCAAAAGGCTGAATTCATCCAGAAACTACACAGACTCACCATGGTTATGACTCCTGATACAAGGCCCTTAAGGGATCTGCTGAAGTTCTGGCTCTGAGCTCCGGGAAAATCGAGGTGGGAGAAAAGCTACGCCTGCGAATCGGGAAGCCCTCACTCATACTATGCAGCGGAAGGTGCCCAACGAAGCGATCGCAGTTGACAGCGATCCGGATGCTGTGAACGGAGGCGCTATGCCAGAAAGGACACTGGCAGATGCCACCTCAAGCCCCTGGAACTTTCGGTTTTCGTTGCTGGTGATACATCGCATCTGCACCTGGCTTAGGCACTTGGCAAGCCGTTGGACTCGTCGTTAAGGTGTGGAAACAGAATACCATGCAAGTGGCCAAGGTGTCACGAATTCCAGCAGAGGTCAGTAGCATCCCACGGTGACCTCTGATTTGCAGAACCGCATGAGCATGGCGGTTGACGCTGCGAGGACTCCCGAGTGGACGTACTTTTGTCGGAAGTGTGGTGTCGGGGCCTCAGCGAGCCTGGATTCGTCGGTGGCACCGCGTAACGTTTGCAAGGTGGGGGATCGGGGTGTAAGGTTCGGTCATGGTCATAGGTCGACGATGAGGCCTCCACGGAAATTGCTTGAAGCATGTTCTGAAACATCTTCAGAAGTAAGTCACTTACCTAATTTAAGACATTCAAGCTAGAGGGCCAGTTCAGCTGTCCCCACCGCCGTGCCAGAAGCCTTGGCTGCCTTCAGACTCTAGGCAGCCCTCTTTCACGACCTCGACGTCCTCCAGCACCAGCGAGGAGGGCAGCGACAGGCCGTCGCCTTTCCTCGTCGTTTCCGTTTTGCCGCGGCTCGGATACCAGGACGAATGCAATTCAGCGAGCCGGAGTGACTGTGAGACCTGCCGTAAGCATGTAGCGAACATCACTTCTTATACCATCTGCGAGGCAGGCTACGGCGACTGGCGAGCCGATCGCCAGGCTGAAGCTGCCGCTGGCACGAAGGTCGACTGCACCTCCTTGCCACGCGGACCCGGAACAGAGTGACCGATGGGTTGACTTAAGGAGACCGCGTTCAGGGTGGAGCGGACTGGAGTACTTTCCGACTTGTACAGCCTCCTCCGAGGTTTGTGCAGCCCATGAAGCGCGAGGCTGAGGGGTACGTATGGATAAGCCTATGAGGGTCCATGAACCATCAGCCTGGGAGTCTTGCATTGGACCGGAAGGAAAGCTTTCGTGTTGCGAGCGATTCCGGAGTCCCAGGTGGATGGGCGACCTGCATGACCAGAGCGGACGCCCAGTCCCAAGAAGGGTCTGGGCATCTCTTTACCAGCTTTCCTGAAGCCACGTCCGCATGTCTCAAACATGAAGCCCTTAGGATAGAAGAATATCAGTCTGCCTTACTTCAGTCTGAAAATGGATTCCTAAGGTAGGCCTTCCACACCTGGCTAACAAATAGCGTTCCATGAAGCCGAGCACAATCCACCCGTGGCACTACCAGAGTGTCAGGCCTCGTCTGCGGCAACCCAACCTGCAAGCAGAAGCTCGGGGGCTTCAGTCACCGCACCCAGCTGGGTTGGGATCTGTTCGTGTCCTTTGCATCTCTGGGCAAATCTTGTTTCCAGTCCTGAACACAGGCTCAAACACTTGGTGCTCGTGCTTCATGCTGTTTTGTGCATGGCGTCCGGAACGGCGATCCTGGAGATTAAGCAGTCTCTGCCTGTACTTCAGGTGTCTCTGCGGGTCGGGGGAGTGGGATGGCCATAAAGGATTCTGCTTTCAGAAGCGTAGCAGCGTAGCATCAAGACAAAGGCGTGCCTAGATTCGTTTAGATGCTGCGGGTTGTTTGCTGTAATGTAGCAATGTAGTACAGTGAGTTGTGCTGCGCTCTACTCGTTCGTTTGACAACGTCGCTCTTACCATAATCTTCTTGAGCTCGCCAGCTGCGAGTACTGTAGACGGCACTTTGCTGCCTACCGTGATATGCTGCACAATCCGAAGCGTGCTACATTGCTCCCTATGGTGATCTACGGTGTTGTGTCTCGTTTTGTTCGTGTGTTTGTGATTTTTTGCCCAAATTGTAAGCTCAAGCTAGACAGTCCTTAACCAGGCTGGCACGGCCTTCCATGCTCGTGCGGCGAATGGCAGCGGCTCGGAGTAAGCAGGGCTCCAGGTTGTTCTACGTGAGAGCTCCTCTGAAGTGAGCTTCTTCTGGCCCGTTCTAAATTCCAAGTGCGTCCTTCAAACGTAACCACATAGCGAACGGGTTTTCTCCGATGTTTGGACTAGGATTCCGTTTTCAGAGGATTCGAGACTCTAGCCGGATTCATGATTTATGGACTATAGTTGGTGACTCGGTCAAGGTCTCGTGTCCGTGGCAGGAACTTGTAAGTACACATCCTTCGATCGGGGTGCAAGCGCAGCAGCAGGCGCAGTACCTAGCAGCGAGTTAGTGGAGGCTCCTGAAGCAGAAATGCAGTGCATACAGTCGCATCGATTTTGTACCTGCAGGGGACCAAGATTCTTCTACAGCGGTGGGCTACAGAAAAAACCCAGAGATCTTGAAGCCTGCCCCAGTCTCTAGCAGAACTGGAAGTCTGCGGAAGCGCAATCAAACTCCCTGTGTGCAGTCGACTTCCTGGAACTGCTTGCCAGGAGCCCTGCATTTCAGATTCACTGCGCGCGTGGGGGCGCCGAGATCACGGGAGCTTTAAGCTCCGAAGCCTCCGAAGCACTGAGACTTAGAGGGGGCTTTCGGTCAAGGAGCCGAGACCTGTGCAGGTTGGGGGGCGAGTGCTGCAGATCTCGGGCTCGGGCAAAGTGACACGGCGTGTTCACCCCTAGGCCCTACACACCTCAAAAAGCTGCTCTGTGGTTGCATGAGCCAAGCAGGATCAGCCCGCTCCATGCGCTTGGGCTCCCCCTGCTCCCCTGCAGTTTCAAGCTATTTCCTTTGGGCCCTATAAACTTTGAAGCCCCGCCTTTTCTTTGAGCCATTGGAGCAGCCTCGAGCTCGCAAAGGCTTCAAAGGCATGGATGTCTGGCAGGAGGCGCGACAAAAACCGCTCCCTCCCTCCATCCTGCAGCTACCACGCGCTGAGATGCAGGGGGATTCAGTAGGGCGGACTGCCTCGACTGCTTCGAGGTGGCTCGAGCACCTGCCGGCCTTTGCACTCCCTGCGTTCTGGCTGTGGCTCTCGCAGCTCACCTGTGCCTCGGCGAATCTGGCCGGAGGTGCATCTCGAACATCCGGGGGACCACCTGCTTCCTGCATCAAGCAATGCTTCCTCTGGACACGACATCTCTCTCTCTCTCTCTCCCTCNNTACGCCCCCCCCCCCCCGCTGCAGCCACTGAGGAGAGGAAGCGTGCGCTTGCTGAGAGACTGCATTCCGTCCGAGGAGACCATGACATGCCTCTGGAGCCTTTCCATCATGTTGACGTGTTGGGCTGTGTTGTCAACTGCCTCGGCACGTTCCGAGGTGCAAGACAAATCACAACATGGCATGTCACAGAAGCATGCCAGGCACTGGCAAAATGAAGACAGCTGTGTTTGTTATTGTAGCTGTACCGGTGGCTGCATCTATACCTGGTCGATCCCGCATTCATCCATGCCTTAATCTAAGTCGGTTTGTCTTTCCATGTCCAGACATCAACCGGCCGGCAATATTCAGGTCCCTCGCCGCATGATGACCTATGCGGGGGTGTGCCAGCGCATCGGAGAAGCCAAGACAGAACAGTAAGAGCACCTCAATCGTACTCCTCATACGCAGCATACATAAAGCCCCCAACAGACGCTACCAAACAAGAACCGAAGTCATCGATACGAGGGGGTGGCCTTCGCCGAATGGGCCCTGAGGAGCTCGATGAGGAGAGGAAGGAGGCCATGATGGAACAGGGCAAGCCTTTCTGCACCCTCCTGATCTTGGGGCTCAGCAACTTGGTAATGCATTTCATGTGCTGAGGCTGCTCAGGCTTCAGAGGCGTAGCACTTGCTTCGTACAGCGCCCATGCCGATGACATGGGCTTGTGGTTGCTCCTGTTTAACCTGTTTCATAGGCCTAGTCTTGTCAGATGGCTTTTTGCGGATTTCCGGGCATGTCAAGTTTGGCGTCGCATCTGAGGCTCGGTCATTCTTCTGATCCTTGGCTTTCTTCCGTTGGAGCGGATCCTGCTGCGATCCTGTCGCAGAGGGGGCCCGGATTGAGTTCCTACGTATCAGGCGAGACCCAGCACAGCCGAGGAAGTACGGCTTCCTTACCTTCAAGGTCCTTTTGAGACCAGCGGCTTTGCTTCGAAAGCAAAGTGATCCACAATATCCTTCGTTCGGACCATGAGACCCACATGAAAGACTAGGAGTGGCACATCTAATAACGAGCATGAGTTGTGTTTGGTCAGTAGTCTGGCAAAGGGCCAAGGCTTCCCTTGCACAGCCGTGTTGGGCATCCAGACTCGAGCGAGGGCTCCCATGCTTGCTCTGTAATTGCTGCAAGTGGCATTGCCGTCGCTACTATAGCTTATGCCGCTACTGTTTTGAGCAGCGTGGAGTAGTTCTTCTAGGCCATGGACCTTCCTTGCTTTGCCGCGGAGACAACCCAGGAAAGTCTGACCACCTTCGACTTCATCCGGGCTCTGGGAGGGGGCATCTATCTGCTGGTCTGGTCCATGTTCCTGTTGGGCCACATGCAGCTGAGCATTTGGCGCATAAAGCTGCTGGCTGTTTCTGTCAGCGTCGTGCTCCTCCTACGGGAGATGTGCCTAGGCTGGGCAAGCAGCTCGCGTGGGCATAGTCGCACTTGTTACAAGCCTTTTCCCGCCCGAGGATCATGGATTTTCAGGAGGATGCCTTGATGATGGCTTTTCGGGCTACAGCAGGCAGGTTTGTTGAGGCGCCCTTGTGAGCAAGAACGCGCTCTCTCCTTTCTCAGGCTTGGCCATGATGGATCACTGCCAAGCCTTGCTTTTGCAGCCGCACCCCCTGCTTCACATCGTCAGGTCAGTCCTCAAAGCAGTTCACAATAGTCCTGAGGTCTGGCTTTGTGGTTCTGCGCGCTGCGGTGAAGTACACCACTTCCACCGTGGAAGAGCTGACCATGCACATCGTGGGGGCAGCTGCTTTTCGTGGATCCGTGTTCTGTTGGGCAGCGGGCCGCGATCCACAAATTGTCACCGTGCTGCTCAGGTTCTCCTCTGGGTGATCTGGTTCACAGTCCAGACCTGCTTGAAGCAGTTCCTCCTCATGACGCAAAAGATACTCGGCCATTGGACACCTTTAGTTCATGCGTGCCACAACCGGCAGTTCAGGCACAAATAGCTTCCATGTCCGTCTATGCAGACCCTGGTTGATGTCGAACCTTTCCATTTACGCAAACTGAAGCGTGGAGCCCTCACGATTGTTTGAAGGAGGTTCTGGACTGTGGCCATGACATATACGGTTGGCTGTCTGCGCATGTGATGAACGTGTTTGGGGTTCTTGAAGTAGCATTGATCAGAGTATTGAAGTGCGTGATGCATGGCTCCGTCCTTCTTCGCCGCCCTGATCACGAATGTCATATATAAGTGTTTGCACATACAGGTACGCGCATAGCTTAGATATGTGCATGTACACACAGACATGTACACACACACATAAACTCTATCTATCTATATATATATATATGGTACGAGCATATCTACATATACATTAACTTCCGAGAAAGAGTTGTTAGTACCATCGCCCGCATGATCTCTATTACTACCCATACGACGATTACAGAGATTATTTCCATGATTACTACTAGTTCATTTACGATGATTATTGCCAGCGATCCATCTCTCGCAAATACCGCTATTCTTACTGCTGCCTGTACTATCGAGTTGCTATTTCTGCTATTGTTACTGTTATTGTTATGATCAACACACACTAGCTGCTGCCCTGCACATGTGGGTACAAACCGAATGGATGTTTGTTGTTGCGTTGTTGCATCTCTCTCTCTCTCTCTCTCTCACTCTCTCTCTGTCCCGCTCTCTGTCACTCTCGTTGTCCTTGCTTGTTTGTTGCTTTATTTGTTGTTTGTCGGTGTCTTTGCAGAGTTCGCATGTGTGCTCGACAAGCCCGCAGCATGCTCCTCAGCAGAGAGACTACCGCCTAGCATTTGAGGAATCAGGATTTTCAGGGCAGGGCCAGGTTTGTTGACAGGTTCAGCGGGTGATGGGCCCCGAGCCAAGCTTTTAACATCTCCCGTCCTGGCAGCTCCCCCGAATGAGTATACGGTACAACAAAAAGACAAGAAGCGGTTGCTGGCAGAAGCTGCGCAATCCCAGGGTGGCCGATGCCAAAGCTTCACTGGAGGCCGTCAGGGCCCTCTTGTCTAGCCAATGCGATGCCGAGGCGCCCCGCACCGCGCAAGTCATGTCTTGAAGATTTTCCGGTCGAGTCATTTTGAGTGCTTCGGTATTATCTTCAGATGCGGGAGGGTCTCTTGGGTCAAACACTTGGCGGCTCACTATGTTGGAATCCTCCATGAAGCCGCGATGCCCCGATATTTTTCTTGCTGCTATTGGTGGATGCTGCCTCTGCTGCTGACGATAATTACTGGGGATGAGTGGTTGCTACCAGATGTGTGACACTGCTGCTGCAGCTGCGGCTGCCGAGAGTCAGAGCTCCAGAGCCTGCTCCTGGGGCTTCGGGCTCTCCGCAATCGGAGACTAGTCGCTGACGTTCCGCAATGTGCGACAGCTGCGACAGCCTTTTAAAGCTTAATCGCCAAGCTTGAGGCCTGCCTCAGCTCAGCTTTCGTCTTCCAGGCCCGAGATTTTGGGGTAACAGCGATTCTACTCGCCGATCTAGCAAGCCAGAGCTTCGCCCCAACCTCGACTGATGGGTGCAATTGAGCAGCAGGAACCTTTTTTTTCTTGCCTTGCCGGCTCCGGGCTACTGACTCAAGTGTGGATCATAATGACACCAAGCTGCCATGCCTCCGTACTGTTTGTGTAGGTCGGGATAGTAAGTCACGAGAGCTCTGTGGAGATTGCGGGAGTTGTCGTTTACCAATTGTCCTCAAATGGAGAACCAGGTCAAAATTGCGCACAGGAGCCTGTCTGGAGGGTTTAGCAAGAGCTAAACTCGCGGGAGGGGGGCAGCCACCAGGCAAATGATTGGTTGAGAGGCACAAAGGAGGTGGACCGCGTACAAGGTGGGGGGCCTTTCCCTGAAGGCCCCCTGTCCAGCATGTTCAGACTTTCAGACTGCTTTTTGCAGTGCACACGTGTTGTCTCGACCCTGCATGATCGGCACTAGCAGCAGTTTCCAGGGCAATTGGCAGCATGGCGACATTCGTGTAGGCTGACTTCAAAAATATTACTTTTAGCTCGCATCTGCCTAGCTATTGCGCTTTCTGACAGTTTTTCTGTTCTGTGACACAGCTGTGTGTTGCGACTTCAGCGGGCCCGTCTGGGGATATTCAGAGTTATGTCAGTTATGTGTGCTGTGTTATCATTTCGGCCGGCGCGTGCTAGCGAGCTTTCTGCTTCTTTTGCAAGTGAAGTCGCAACAACTGTCAGTATTTAGCACATGCAGCGGGTTGAGCGCCTCACTTGCAATTTGTCCCTGACCCACTGCATGTGCCGGCCCGAAAATGCCATCACACCCACTTGTGCGCTCGACTGATTCGCAGTGCTGTGCTGCAATAGAATCGCTTGACGAGTCCCCAGCCCCTCCCTGCTAACTACACTTCCTTCCCCCGCCTTTCGTGGCCTTCTTCTCAAGTAGCAGTAGCAGTAGTGCCAGAGTAGCAGTAGTGCCAGAGTAGCAGTAGT